CCTCACGCGGATGCACTGGAGCTCCAACTACGATATATTACTCTCTCACTCCTCTCTGTGGGCGCTGTGCATCACTTTATGTTCTGTGATTAATATTCCCTCCAGCAATCCACTTTTCTGGCCGATTATAAACTCCGCATAACGCACATTTAAAATAAACGGATGATTTAGCTGTCCCGACGGAGGAATTCCATGAAAATTCTACTTGATTTTGGATGGAAAAAGAGAAAAGTTTGTTGTAAAATTTGTGCCGAAGATATAAATCAGTAGTGAAGTGGTAAAAGGAGATAATTCAATTTTGACTATTGACCAGTTTTTAATCAATATCTCGGAATCTAAGGAAGATAGCAAAATTTTTGTTATAACCTTTTTTGTGGAGCTGATTAAGTGCTACAACAAATGTAATTACGAGAATTTCGCTATCTCCCTTAGATTCGGAAATATTCCTCAAAAACTTAACTGGGAGATGAGACGACTTATCTCCGTTTACCACTTCACTACTGAAATAAAAAATACCGAACAAAATGTGAATGAATAGGTACGGGGTAAAATCAACCAGTTTCAGTGATCAATTACTCGACGTTGGTGTGAAATTAAAGGAAAATTTATTCGTCTAAATCGTGCCACTGAGACAGCAGACTGACGATTTTATGTTGTTCAATTTACATCGCCTCCAAGATATTTTTTTCCCGTAATTTTTTAAGAATGCTTAAATATCTTTAACTGGTGTTTCAAAGTTGTTTAAGGACAAGGCCGTCTATATCTCTATCTAGGCAGTCACTAATCTAGCGCTTGGAATCATATTTATTTCAGCACTAGACTGTTAGATTCCAATCAGGCTGACAGTAGTTAAACAGCTGCTAGAATCTAGAATTTTTGCTAATGAAAACCCCAGGAATATTACGCCATATCACCCAGTGATAAATTACAAAAGAAGAAATTTTTTAATGATTTTTTTTAATTATTCAAAACCGAAATTGGAGATTTAATTGCAAACACAAAACAAAAACGGATTTCAGCGGAGTAAATTCACTTTGCACAGTTGAATTGCGTTGAAAACCTTCAGGTGAGGAATAATTTTTCCCCACAATACACTCAGAGGAATGATTTGAATCAAATCAAGCCCATAAAAAATATTTTCCATTCAATTAAATGATTTTTGTTTGCCAAGGATTTATTTTATTTAAATGAAGAATTACTGCAGTTAATAAATTAGTTGTCTTCTGCTTCTGAACAATGAATTCATTTCCAACTGATAAATTCTTTATTTGAGTCAAAAAAACATTTATTTTATTGAAAGAAAGATTATTAAATTCAAACAAATCGTCGTCCTTGCTGTAGACAATGAGCATGTCCCAATCTGTACAGTATCTACATGTGCTCAGTGTCGCAGGTGGAGGAAAAAATGAATGTCCTCTGTGTACTGCAATTACGCAAGCCATCCATATGCACACCCAAACCCTGACTACCCGGAGACACCTGTATATAAATTAAATCGCCTCACTGTCACCTTCCGTCTCTAACGGTCCTCTACTCCGATGCTGACCGAGGAACCCACCACCGAGAACTTGCCGCCAAGTTAGTGGAGCGTGACACAGAGGAGAGTCAACTGTGTATCCGGTAAACGACATTAAACAAAATTGGTGGGTTTTGCAGGACAGATGACGACATTCCGACGCCAGTTGACGTGTTTTACAGGCGGAAAGTGTAATTCGAAAGCATACTCACCATGAATTCTAATTTGAAGACGTGAAATTAGTTGCGAGACCTTTTAAAGAGCCGTTTCAAAAGATATCCTCTGAGGAATTCTCTTCACAGTTTATTTAGTGTTGAAAATTTATTCAAACCATGTTGTTGCATTTCAGAGTTTATATTTTCAGTGAAAGTGACCTATTTTTCCCCATAACGCTGAATATTCATGATAAATTGTTAAGAAAATAGGGTTTTCACTGTAGTTTTCAACATAATGTAACATGATGTGATTTTGTGAGCAGAATTGAGTATTAATAACTTCAACGAATGGAATTGATTTTTTTCCTGAGAAAATATTGATTTATGCTGAAATGTTCAGAGTCAATTTGTATTTTTTCTAGCACGAAATTCTGAGAAGAATTTTCAACATTCCCAGAATATTTTTACAAAAAAAATAATAAAAGTCAATCGAACCAAATGCATTTAAATTCTTTGATGAAATTAAGTTTCCTAGAAGCTAAAGTGAAATGAAAAACTTCTACTCCGCCATCAAATATTCCCTTTTCCGTGAATGTAAAAAGTAGACGAATATGCTCTCTCCCCGACCATTGAAAATCAATTTTCCCTGGAGCTAGAACCAGTTGATGAATATAAGCGGAAAAAGTTCTCAAAGCCGGCGGCAATATCAAAAATGAAAATACTCCCCGAGCCAAAAAGTGAGCATTAATTCAAGGGCTGCCTGGAGAGCTTAAATTACCTTCCAACTTCCCAATTCAGAATCATTTTCTATTTTTTCAGAAGAATACTTCTGCCTATTCTCAGGATCTAGCATCATTATTTAATGAAACCCTAGAAAAGCGTGAACTCTCTGAGCCTCGAAGTCTAAGTTAGAGATTTCAGTTGAAAATTTGTGACAGTGGATATATAAAATGAAATCGCAATATTTTCACAATTTTTTCCTCAATAATTAAAACCCGAGTAAACTTGAGAAATCAATCCACATAATTTTTTCAACGAAATAAAACTGTTCTAGAAACTAAAATCAAGTGCAAACTTCCCCTTCTCATCAAATATTCCCTCCCCCCAACCGTTAAGAATCAATTCCCCCGAAGTAATGAAAATTCTCCCCGAGCCAAAAAGTGAACATTAACTCAACGGCTTCCAACTTTCCAATTCAGAATCATTTTCTATTTTTTCGAGAGAATACTTCTGCCTCATAAATTGTCACAAATTTTCAATTTTCAATTTTCAGTTTGTGACTGGATATATAAAATGAATTGCAATATTTTCAGAATTTTTTCAACGAAATAAAACTTTTCTAGAAAGTAAAATCAAGTGAAACACTTCCCCTTCTCATCAAATATTCTCTCCCCCCAACCATTAAGAATCAATTCCCCCGAAATAATGAAAATTCTCCACGATCCAAAAAGTGACTGGTAGTTCGAGCTCTACGACGACCTCTTAAATTCCAATCCCATCATTAAATCCACTCATTTCCCTCCCCCTGTCCACGGAACTTTCAGCCTGATGTAAACTACAGTATAAAATCCGTAATAAAACCCGGGGCGATATCAGTTTCAAACGGAGCTCTCTGATAAAAGCCAACGGTAACAAAAACTACCTGAGTGGTTTTATCACGAGTCATATAATTCCTGTCCTATCATCCTCGTTGAAGAGACACCGCTACAAACACGCATTCGCTCACGTTTTTTATGGACATTCGAGACGTTCTGGATATTTACTTGGCTACCATCCCATATCCTCCGACCTCAGACGTTTCCTTCATAATTCTGGAGTTCTTTTATTTTTTTGTACGAAGACATTCTGCCGAATAGACTGGAGATGTTGCCAGATGGCAGACTTTTTCCTATCATCCGGAAGTAATTCAGAGGGACTTCCTAGGTTTCCTCTCGCTTCGAGCGATAGAAATGCTCGGGAAAAATATATTTCTTGTAGGAAATGTTTTAGTAGGGCTGCGAGACTGTAGCATAATTTATTTTCCACTGCTCATCCTTTTATAAATTCTTTATAGGGAATACTTCTACATCGATTACACAATGTTGAAAATTTTTTGCAAAAATTTTCCGTACACATTTTGGAAATTTTTCCCAGATTACAGTTTCATCGAAATTTCAAAGAATTTCGTCATTGAAAGTTCGAAATGTTATGGAAAATCGATGGAAATTAAATTTTGTTCCAATTGTTCCATAAAAATTAATTGAACTCAGGGAAATTGAGGTAAATATATTTTTGAACTCGGAATTTCATTGAATTTTTAGGGAAATCCGAAATTTTATGATTATTTCACTTCTGAATAGAATTAAATGTCATTTTCATAACAATTTCTAGTCAACTGCTCATAAAATTTTGAGTTTTTTCCAACGTTGCAGCTTAACCTATTGGAAATTATTATCACATTAGAGTTTCGTTGAAATTTCCAGCAATTTCGCCATTGAAAGCTCAAAACTTTCTAGAAAAATCAATGGAAACTGTAAATTCTGATTCAATTGTTCCACAAAAATTAATAGAAATCAGGGAAATTGAGGTAAATATAGTTTAAAATTTTTAATTTTTGCTGAATATTCACGTTTTCATGAAAAATTCAAGTAAACTGGAGAATTTATTTGAATTACTTGAGTTTACTTTGTCTTTCTCGTCTAAGCGTGAGAAATCCAATAAATTTTCAGTTGAATTTGGATTTTTACGGTGATCTCTCCCTAAATCGAATTGAATGTAACTCTCCTGAAAATCATCAATTAACTGTTCATGAAATTTCCATATTCTTCTAATATTGCAGCATTTTCCCGACAAAATGGCCTATTACACCCGATCTTGCCTTTCGTTTTCTAACGAATCTGGGATTTTGAATTAATCCTTTGTCTGAAAAAATTGTACTCCTCACATTCTAATAAATTGTTGACACGTTTCCATGCAAATGAATAGAACGGCCATGTTATTCCAATTAAAATGTTTTTCAATCTATTTTGATGGACGTAAGTCTCCCGAAATGATCCACTGGGAGGATTCCTCTGGTTTATTCACACACCGAAAGAATTATTCCCACTCCAAATGCCCCGATCGATCTATCGCACTCTCTATTCGCTGAAAAGAGACAAACACTCGGGGCACATCAACGTGTTTCTGAACACAGGAATGCACGGGAATGTATTTAAGCGAAACATGCATCGCGGAAGTAATTGCTAGCATTAATTCCTAGGAAGCTGTCAAGGCTTGATAACGAGACAATTTGATGAATAATTAAGTATGTAATTGGGGAGATTGATAGTTATGATGGCTTGTGATTTCAGATTTTACGAGGCGATCCTAGAGGACTCGGAGATGACGTCGAGGCCAGCAACTTGTGGGTCACGATGTACAGGTAATGATAATAAAAACTAGATTCCTACGGCGATGAGGAAGTGGCGATGAGTCCAGTAATGGAATGAAAACTCCTTTATTTTTATCTCTTTTTCTTTCCCTGGGGGAAAGCAATTTAATTAAAATAAATGTCAAAAATAAATATCAGATTACTTTTTCACTGACGAATTCCCCCGTAAAAATTTTTGAGACGTTTTTCAAAGTTACTAGGTTTAACAGCGAGCTGAGATGGCCGAATTCATAAATCATAATTACCGTTAAATTTTGAAACTGTCATTTAGTTAACATCGCTCTTGAATTTTTTGTTATTTTAGTAATTATCAACTTAAATATTCAAATTGTGAACTATTTTAGTAATCAATAATTTAGATACTCTGAGAGAAAAGCCAACACGTTGTCAAACAAGTCTTGTTTGCCCCAACAAAATCGGTAGTTGAACATGGCCAAAAAAGAATTTGTTTCGTTCGAATTTAAAAGTCTCAAACATGAATAATTGTTCTGCTTCCGACAGCAAGGAAATATTTGGCTCAAGAGGCGGATGATTAACATCAGACGGTGCCTTTTCAGAATGAAAATATTTCATATAGAGGAAAATTTATCAACAAATATTTTATCCCTAAGTTACAAGATTGATACCATATCATTATGGTAATCCCTGTTAAGAAATTATAATTATTTACTTAACGGAAAATTCACGGTCCCACATTATCAAATATTTAATTCATCATCAATCGCAAATCTAAATTATTAAAATTATACTATTTTTATATTTTTATGAGATTAGTTAAACCTTTATCAATATCATTCGCAAATTCCCAAATATTGATGCAATTTAATATTGAAGGCCATCCCTGATGGCGAAGCAATTAACAAATGAGTTAAAAATTCATAATTCATCAAACGTCGCATATCTCTAGACTTAGATGATCAAAAAGAATGACAGAAGATCTTTTTCACAGTTCATAAAATTTTCTGTACAAAAGTATCCCCATAAATTCTTCTGAATAACTTCCTTCTGCGGATGTTTGCAAAATAATTTGCACATCTGTGCCATCTAGACTCTTCTTCTCTTTTATTCCCTTCTTATCGCATGCCTATTGAATAATGAATCGTAATAAATCGCGTCAGATGGTTTAATCTGCTTCAATTTCGTGTGTTAAACCCCGATTCATTCACTTTTGAAGCCAGAAAACTTGGAAATGGGCCGAGTAAGTGGGTTGACTCCTCCAAACAATTCGCGATGCCTCGTTGCAGTAAGAGTACAAAGTACTGTTAGAATTACCGAGGACCATGGCCCTCATTCCTCTCGCTTATCTCCACGCAATTAAAACTCGGAAAAAAATATATTCACTTTTTCCGAGTAAAGCCGCACGTCATAAATTTCTACTTTCTGCTCAAATATCTGAACAAAGAAACCAACGGATCAAGAAAACCACTGACGAATGCAAGATGAATGCCATTGTTTGCAACATTGAGTCAAGTTGATAGCGCACGTTTTGCCATGATCAATCGCCCTCGAACAACATGAAAAGCAGCCCAATGCATACGGTAAACGTGTCACGAATTAAAAAATAAACGAAAACAAAACATTAACAGAAACTCGAGGCCGCGGATTAATATTCACTGCGACGCATGGGTGTGTTAATATCTGCGTTTAATCTCAACTGATGATTTATATTCCTGATGTTCAATGTGTACCAGTGTCTGATCAAGGATTTTCCCCACTTACAACCGGTTCTAACGTCTATTCCCTCCCCCTTTGCCCGCGTATAAATATAAATTGAATACATAAAAGTATTTCATTATTATCAGAGGAGCGCTTTCACAACGGGACAAATATTTCAAAAATCCATCGCAAATGATTTTTTTTGTTAAAATGAACACAATTTTTTTCTCTAGAAATTTATTTACGCTCAGAATATCTTCCGGAATTAATTTTATTATGACAAAATGAACTTTCCGGAAGTCAAGTCTTCACGGAGAGAAATATTCAGGAAAAATTACGGAACAGTTTACGTAATCCGCAGTGGGGAATCGTTTTCCGGCAATTTTCATTGGAATGGAAGAGGAGAAATCTGAAACGTTCAGTGAATTTTCAGGTTCATCATAGAACAAAGTACGAAATTGTCACGTAATTTTTCCCGAAGAAGTAAAATCTTACAGAAGCGTGCCGACTTATTAAGCCTCCAAAATCAAAAATTCTTGAACGTTCAACAATTTTTATGGAGCTGGTGAGTTATTTCTACGTTCCGTTCTGTAAAATTTCTCAATCGTTGGGGAAAAATTACGGAACGACTTGTTGTCCCCACAGCGGTGAGTCATCAGATGAGTGATTAATTTTTACAGAACAAATCGTAGAATTTACGTGGCGATTCGTAGAATGTCAGTTCCGACTCGCACTTTTTGTTGAATTTTACTTCGCTCGCGGATTACGTTTCGAAGCATAATTTTTACGTTTTTTTTCTGCTAATTATTACTGAATTTTTCTCTCTGCATTTCCATAATTTATTCATAGGGAAAACATGTTTGTAAAAGTCAATTTTTCGCAAAAAATAACTGGGATGATGCTGATTATGCATTCATGACTGTTTTCAAATCTTCCTGCCACAGGTCAATTTGAATAAAAAAATCCTCGCAGTGTTTCTCTTATTTACACTCTTTCTACTATTTATCTCGCCACAAATTCTTCCAATAAAGTTATTATTTGAAGTCCCTTCTCTTTCACATTAGTGTCAGTAGTGCAATTTGCACCGAACCCCATATATATTTCCAACGCCAGTAATGCCTCGAACTAATGCTATGAAAATTATCCCCAGGTATAATTCTCCTGCTCATCAGTGTCTCCCTCGTCGAAGCCCAGCCGTCGTCCTTGGATTCCCACTCCTCGACATCAGGAAACAGCACAATCTTACATAAACCGAGACACGAAGGCAGCGTGCCTTCATCAGCCTTGAACGATGGTGAACGTAAACTGCCTTTCCAATCTTCCCCGACTCCCTCCAGTGAATGGATTAACAATTCACCAGCGCCCAGGATCAACAAAGAGCAACATTTGCCGAGTAATCAAGACGCAGTGGAGACCTCCCCCACCCCCGACCTCCAGCCCCTCCCAGATATTGATCCCGAGAGGGTGGCTAAGCCCGCCGAACCTCCCAAGAAGCACTTAATCGAGAAGCTAATTGCCGACTCTCATACGCAAATTGAAGATAAGCCCGAGGTGTCCACAAACTCGAAACCAGTTCCACTACCGGAATTCAACGAGAAAGATGAATACCCGGACATCGACGAGACTGAGAGATTCGGTGAGAAAGAGCCCACGACTCCAAAACCAAAAAAGGATCAGGACGAGACGATCTCCCTGATCAACGACACAAACGTCAACTACAAAGGCGTGAAAAAGGAGCGCGTGGACGACGTGATAACAAAAAACTCGAAGCTAACGCAAGAAAACGCGACGAACGTCATCTCCCGGGAGTCTGACGTCGCGCCTAAACCGAAGGATCCCAAGTCCCAGGTGGAGACCGTGAAGAACGTCACGTCGACAAAAGTAATGAGAATAATCGGGCCCAAAGAGGTAGGCGAGAAGAACGACACTACATCGCCATCAATCCTGCCTGAGCTTTCAAACAAACCGATGAAGAATATCTCGGATGATATTCATGAAAACCTCCCCGAGGTCTACACCGACTCGCGGAAGCTCCCCTTCCCGGAAAACAAAACCCTAGGAGAAAACACTGCGGATACAAACGAGCGAAGTTCCTCCCCAAGGGGTCGTACAATATCATTCAATAACAGCAATCAATTCAGTAATGCCGAGGGGAAAGGAGGCGGCTCGACAAAGGAGAGCGCTGAGCTCGGATTCACAAAAGACTCAAGACCGTACCCCTACTTGAAAAGTAGTCCAACTAATCCTATGAATACGAGTAGAGCTAGGGTTTCAACCGAGGAGATATCACCTTTGGAGAACACAATCGGAAGAAGCCCTGACGACAAGAAGTTAGTGGTAACAGAGCCCTCTGTTGTGATTGATAACAGCATTCAGCAGATAAAACCGACGTACTACAAGAGATCTGGAAATTTCTCGCGGCCGAGTGACGCTGACGGCCCGACGTCTCCGGTGACGTCTTCAGTGGCTCTGAAGACATCGGAAACCACCGAGAGTTCCAACCTGACAGCCTCAGCTGTCTTAGAAAGCACTAGAGATCCGCGGGAAGAAATACTCGAGAAAAAAAACACTCTAGACGAGAATGTCACAGATGTCAAGAAAAATACGACCGAGTCGCAGGAATCCAGAGCCACTGAAGCGAATTTGGTACAAAATACAACGGAAACGCCGGAGGCGTCTGTCGAGACTGCGACAAGGCTCGTTCAGACAAGTATTACAGACCCAGTGCTCATGTCGTCTCCCTTAAACGTCACCGAGGGCTCCACCAGATCATCGCCAACAACCCTCGAACCTAATCCCCAAGGATCCTCACCAAAACCGGAGTCCTCATCCCCGACAACTGCAGTCGAAGAAACTTTAGATACAACTGTCGAGGAACTTGGCACAACTACTCTGATCCCCGAGACAGTTTCGTCAGTAACTTTGGTAACAGAGAGATTACCAGCTAAGACTGAATCGACAAATTTCGGCGGTCGAGGAATTGACTCGGAGTCAACAACTTCGGGGGTTGAATACGAGTTCGTTGGTCTCACTGAGACTACATCCGTGAGTTATGTGGCTAGTTCAGAGGGAATGGGGACAGATGTCACGGAGTTTGCTTCTAGTTTGGGGGGAGTTTCTTCGACTGCCTCGACTGCCTCGATTGATTCGACGAGTTCAATTATGCAGGACTCAACGAATTCTGAGAATGTCACTGCTACTTCGATGAGAGAAGACGACGGATCGACAACAGATCCGACGACTGAAGTGATCACTATAACGGGTGAGGTATTGGATACAACCATTCATACGACGAGTGTCGACATTTCTGAGACCGAGGGAACTACCGATATCCCCGAGGAGACAACCTCCGTTGACATTAGAACGCAGAGCGAATCGGGGGATTCCCCGGATTCGATGGATTCTTCGACTCAGAGTAACACAGTTGCGGGGAAAGTTAATAATTCAGATGTTGGGGAATTCTCAACTGGGCCATCCACATTTTCGTCGGTTACTGAGACGGAGACGTCTGGGGATTCCACGACTGTTGGAAATACTGAGGGGGGCGGCAGGGGGATGAGCGAACAGCCGTTCGCCCCGGAGGATGTCAATCTTCTTGTGAGAATTGTCGTTGAGGGCACTTGGAACGAAGTGTGCCCACACTTGCCTGCCCTCAGGCAGTCACTCGCCGATCTGTTGACTGCTGGAATAGAAAAGTGAGTGGAGGGATATCTCTCGGGAATTCTACTTTGCGAGTTTTAGGGGCTGTCGGGGCGAAGTCCATTACTGGGCTGAATAACGGGGCGCTTTTTTAGAGGCTTCTTTTGGGAAAATACTGATGATGTTTTTTTCTGGTTTATTGATTTATTCTCGGATTAGTGTGGTCCAGTGGCAAGTAATATTTTTCTGGAGAAAAACAAAAAATAATTCATTGGTTGCATGGAACAATTTGGAGGGGGTTCATTTAATTAATTGAAGTACCAATTGGTATCCCAGTAGTCCTGAAGAAAAAAATCATCATCTGGAGCGAAGCTCATCAAGAATTTCTATAAATCGTTCCCAAAAATGGGGTGCATAAAATGTAATTTGAATGCCACTAATTATCCACGAATAAATGAAAATCTCACCTAATTTCTCACGAAATCTTCAAAAACCATTTGGCTATTCTCAGAAGTTTGCAGTTATAAATTAAAGTAGTTAATGAATCGATTTTCCGTCCTCTCCAGAACTGTCGCAGCCGCCCAAATAATTTTCCAAAAGAATCCGTGTACTGATGGAAACCCACCGCAGTATTCAGCAGAATTAGCCCTTCCAACTTTATACCTGTACGTTGTCGACCAAAATGGAAACTTCGACACGGCAATGACGAAAATTCTCCCCAGTCTCTACAGCAGGACCTCTATAAAGTCCCAACTGAATGTGAGTGTCATCTCTCTTCATTTTCAAATTTATCGGTTGCACTTTACGATCTGAAAGTGATCTACAAACTGTGTCCACTGGAAATTGGCGTTCGTGGCTTACACCCCAGTGTCACTTCTATCGCTCAAGGGATTTATAAATGGCTAGAAATATGACACGATTCGGGGGAGAATGTCGAATGAAATATTGTAATTTTTTTCGGGTACAGAACGGATCGAATGGGATGAGGGAATTGAGCCTATTGTGTAGAACACTGTTAGAATTTTTTTGAAAATGAAAATTGTGAATTGGAAATCAATTTAAGCTCAAATCGTTCATGCAATCTCTCATTTAGTTTGGAAATTCAGGATAATTGGGTTTTTCATGTTAGATTATTACTGATATTTCAATGGCATCTAGAATTTTCAAATTCATTGCGAGAATTAAACATCACATCCAACTGAATTTTCAGTGGATTGAAAATTCAGGGAAATTGTTGCTTGAATTTTCAAATTATTTAATAATTTTCACTATCATGTGGACTTGAAAATGGCAATTCCATGGAATACTCCAGAATTCAACTGATTTTTCAATAACAAAATACATGAAAATTTCCTGGGAATCAGTGATTGGTAAAAGTAGTAGTAGTAGAAGTAATTTTGCAAGTGCGACGCTCATATCGCGACCAACGGAGTGTTAAAACTGAACCATTTCTTTCATGAATGAAAAAAAAATCTCGTTTATCAAATGGAATTGCCACTGACTCCACCTCCATATTTTTGCAGATCCGGAGTTTCCAGTTGGTTCAAGACACAGATTCTGGAAACGCGATAGCCGTGGTTGTGGTTTCCTGTGTGGCTTTCATTTGTCTCGTCCTCTTGGCTGGCCTTCTAGTAAGCTAAAATCGCATTTCCTTGCCTCTTATAAAAAAGAAAACCCTTTGAATACTCAACTCCCAACCCCGTCGAAAAACTTTGACCCATTTTCCTCGAGCAACATGAAATCACGAGAAAAACTTCCATTCCCCAACGAATTTAATTTCCCATTTCTCCGCAGCCCCTTTTCACCATCGACAAACACAACTGATTAAAAGTTTCTGTTGCTATTCAAAGGAGGAAAAAGAACAGATGAAAAATTTTCCCAGCCAGAAGCTGGGACGAATGTCATTGAAAATTTATGATAATCCTCCTGAAAATTCGCACTGACAGCTGAATTTTTCAGATATAAATGAGTTCTTGTCGAGACAGACTGGAGAGTCCATCAGCAGTTTCCTCGGCCTCATTAATCGAAAGCCGAGAGACTTGCAATTTCAATCGCTGAATTTCAAAGGCCCCTTGAAACTGAACGAGACTCTCCTTCGATCATTAAAATTAATGACAAATAAATTTATCATTCAAGTTCATAATGCGGAAACGGCAAACGAGGTTCAACTACGGTGAGAGATGTCGACCCGTCTCGTTGGATGCATTCAGCCTCGACAGTGTATCGGCGTACAACAGTGTGAGGCGAAAAGGCGCCAACAGAGCATCAAAGCGCAGTTATGGAAATCCAACTTTTGAGGATTCGGTGAGTTGAGGGTACTAAACTCCCAGGGCAATTACCATAATTATTTCCTGGGAAATTCCCAAGTCTTGCACTGAAGGCATTTAACTCCAATTTCTGGGGAAACATCTGCATATGAGAGGAGATTTAATGTTGAGTACTTGATGATGCTTCCAAAGGGACGCGGGTTCAAGAGAAATTTGTAGAGACCAGTCAGGAACATCGCGATGATTTTTTTGTGACTTGAGAAACTTCCTACTGACAATTTGATAGGGGAGAGTGGGACAAAATGAAACAGTCGAAAAATAAGTTTGACGTAATTCAAGCAAAACAAATTTTGTTATCAACTACTATTTTATTCTGGGGAAGTACTAATGAGAATAACAATTTACCTTTCAGTAGAATGGAAAATTATTAAGAAGTCTTAATGGGAGACGATTTTGTCAATGAATTGATTGAAAAGAAAATGAAACAGCGAAGTTCAGAGCAAGCCCAGGAGGAGACCCAGGGGGGAAAACGAAAGATGTGATGCTGAATTTCAATCAATTGAATTATAAGATGAATGAAAAATTATCATTCTCATCAGTACGCCCAATAATAAAAGAAGTTAATAAACAATAGTTAATAAAAAATTGTTTTTCGCTTGAATTGCGTCAAATAGTCATTTTCCGGCTGTTTCATTTTGCCCCACTCTCTCCTACTTTAATGAAAAGAATTAGAAAGCAAATTATTATTAAACAAATGATTGTTTTCCCATGGGAAATTCATTTTTTCATTGAACAAGATGGAAATCCAAAAAAATGAAAGAGAAAGAAGAGAAAACAAATTACCAATTTTCATAATTCGTTATAAACGAATTAAGCATCCGTTCATGTCATAATTTGATTGAATACTCAACGAAATAATGTATTTTCAGACTGCTGTTCCATCCCACCCCTTGAACTTCTCGGGTCTCTCGACCTTCTGCAACGAGCAGAGCGCAATCTACGAGGAATACTCCGGTATTCCCCAGGTATCAGCTAGAATAGACGAGCTGCCCACCGGGGCGGAGGTGAAAAACCGTTTCGCGAACGTGGTGCCCCTCCCCGAGACTCGCGTTCCCCTAGCAAAGATCAACAATGACCCCTTGTCGGAGTACATCAACGCAAGCTACGTGAGGGGCCCGAAAAACGCGACCAAGTACTACATTGCTTGCCAGGCACCCATCGAGTCCACTGTCACAGACTTCTGGAGAATGATCTGGGAGCAGCAGTCAAAGGTCATCATAATGCTGACTGATCTCATTGAGAATGGAGTGGAGAAGTGCGCCGAGTACATTCCACCCTCGGAAGTCACTGATTGTCACAGACTCTTTGGGGATTACCAAGTCACTCTGAAGAAACGTGAGACCAAAGAAAAATATGCCATTTCCACACTTCATCTCAAGGTGAATAACGGTTATAATCTAGTGTAATTATGTTCATTAATCGCATGGCACGTGAAATCAATAGTTCTTTTCAACATGAACAATTGATTTATTGAATTAAGGGAAGACTTATTGAATTTATTGAATTAAGGCCCGGCTGGATTATCTTTCGAACGTGATCTTGTTTGTTTTTTTTATTTTGATAATCTGAAATGATCTCCAATTGCTATTCCGTTTTAAATAGCCCCGGAGTCTCCAAAATTCAAAAGGGGGCGTTTTACCCCACTCTCTCGTAATAATTTTCATTGGAATCGAGTGAATTATCAATTTAAAAAATTCATAAATTACCAATCATTATCCCCAGAAGAGTGATTCATATTTGAATTGAATAATTGTTTAGATGATGAGGATAACGAGTTTATTAACGTGTAATATCCTTCATTTTTTGTTTATTAATTGAATCGTTTATTTGATTCTACGAAAGGTTTTATTAGGAATAAATAAGTTGTAATTTCATAAAATCAAACCATTATCATTGAAAAAATCCATTGGTTTATCCATTTTTAACAACAATATTGTTAAAGTGAATAAAAAAAATTTATCGAATGACCAGCGCAAAATTCAATTTGTTTGCAGTGGAAGTAAAACGTGTTTTTCATTTCAGAATTTGGAGAACAATACCTACAGAGAAATATCCCATATCTGGTACCTTTGGCCCGCGAATGGCGTGCAGACAGACGCGGCTGGATTAATAGCAGTCCTGTTGGAAGCCCGAGCCCTCCAAAGGGGTGGCCCAGTGCCAATAGTCGTTCACTGCAGTCCTGGGACAGGCAGAACAGGCACCCTAATTGCCCTGGACCTTGGCATAAGGCAGTACGAAATTACGAGAACAGTTGACGTCCCGAGGGTCGTCTACACCATCAGGCGAGATAGAGCTGGGGCTGTTCAAACGAAGGAGCAATATGCATTCATATACAAGGTGGGCTAATCCGTTTATTACTAGGGTGTTTTCATCGGCCGCGACCCTGTACATTCGAAAATATTTCCCTGTTGAGATTTCTTCTGCATTTTAATCTTCTCCCTAAATTCGAAAAACCTGATTTTTTCATGAAACTGGGTTATTTTGCACTTCTAGATTAATTATTATTAATAATACTAGAATGCCGATTGAGCGCAAACTCAACCAGATTTTTTGCTATTTATAGTACCTTTCATTTAAAATTTATTTCAAATTTTTATCTTCAAAATTCAAGTTATGTTTGTACTACTTCAAAGTAGTACGAGTAAACTTCAGTTGAGTCGTTCATTGTAACGCGGAAAAATGAAATAAAATATTTTAAAAAAAAGTAATTCATCATTGATCATTTTTACGTGAATTCTCATGTTGATGAGTGTAGGGAATTAATCCGGGAAATTCTTTCTTCAACACAAGGGTCACAATCTGGCCACAAAGGTCAGATTAAGGATCAGAATAAGATCCACAAGGATCGGATTGAGGGTCACAAGGATCAGATTAAAGATCACAGAGATCAGATTAAGGGTCCAAACGAGGGTCCAAATGGGGGTCAGAAGCTAAGGGTCACAAGGATCAAAAGACGAGTCTTAATATCACTCTATATTGTAAAAATCCAAATCGACTTTTGGTGATGAAAATTTGGTGCTCGAATGCTAATCGCAATCAATTTGTTTCAGGCTTTGAACCTCTATGCGACGAAACTCGCTGGTGGGGGAATTGAGTCCACCTGATATTTGATGAAATTGGGAGCGAGGAGAGCCGAGGGCTTGGGCTAGGCAACGATCTAAGTCAATACTAGATAACGAATTAAATAAGCTGATTGAAGGTTGCAATCCGGTGGGAACTTCACTGAAGGGCGAAATGTTGGACAACTATTTTGGGTGTACACTCATAGAGCAAGCCAAATTGTTAGAAGTACCGTCAACTATCTGTGACAATTTGATATTTTAATGATAGGACTTAAAATTGTAAGTGATTGTAAGGATCGATAGTGGAGTTCTGGAGAACTGGAGACCAGTCAAAAATATTTTATCTAGATAAATAAACAATTTAGAATTTATTGATGTACAAATGAGAAGAAAATCACGGAGTTTATTTCGCGCTTTAGAAAAAAATCAAAAGATCTTTTTATAGTTCAGAAAATTTCCTGCAAAAAGACCAAATTCTGCTGAGGCAGTACTAATAACCGAATTGTTCTATCAATTAACATTTCGTCAATTCATTTCGATGAAAAAATGTCAGAAAATAATATCCGGCCTTTTTTATGAACAATTTTATGAAAATCAGAGAAAGTTTCTCAATATTTTTTTGTAAACGTCAAAAATATTTCCAAAATATGCACATTTACTTTTTCTGGACTCATTTCCTATTCTGCAGCACTCCACTCCTGAAACGTTCTTTATCTTTATGCGGAGTATAAAAATACGGTAGCATCGATTATATTCTATCCAAACACGTGAGATTATAACAGTATAAAAATAACTGGACATACGGAAATATCATCGACATGAAAAAAAAGACGAATCTAAAGTGAAAAAAGTGATTTTACGCAATTACTACTTGTTTAACTATATTATTGTTATTGTTACTGTACAAAATATCATTTCGATTGAACAACGGCTCTCTATTTATGTACATAAAATCTACTGTGTATTGATTTTTACATTTAATTATGGAATTAAAAACTGTTTTGTTAATTTTCCTGGTGAAAACACACAAATTGTGCAATTAACGATGTAACAGGGTGTGTTGGGAGAATGGGGGCCCGCCCCTATTTCCCAGGCAGAAGTAATATAATATACAATTTCAATGTGATGAAATACTTTAATATAGAGGAACAAATATAATATATTCCATATACTCATTTTATAGGAAACATTCGGCACTGATGATGTTCAGTATTCGAACGTGAATTAATGATAAACCTCCATACGTAAGAGAAGAAGTTGAGAAATTATAAATACCCTAGAGGATTGCCAAAATGTCGATAACAGAGGACAATTCTGTGGGGAAGTGATGAAACGTTGATGTGAATTTTTCTTTTTGACCCTCTATTAATACCTCGAAAACTCCCTTTCCAATTTTTTTCCAAAGTGTTTTTTTTTCATTTTCTCCCAATGCCACTCGTCAAACTTCATCATTTCCCTCCGGAATTGCGACAATTAATTGATGAACGCATGTGTCTACATGTCAAATAAATGTATCTATGTATATATGTATGTAAACGATGACAATTACTGAAATACGCACACGAGCGATAATTAAAATTGAATTAATGTGTCAAAAAAGAGATTCCAAACATTTCATTAGTGCTCCTCTCCTCTAGTTCCCTCCAGAGAGTGCAATTTCCTTTAATCATAATTGAGATTAGATTATAATAGATCTAAATTATCGTTCTGTACACGGACTAATGACGGGATAATGACTACTCTCGTATCGGACAAGTGAGGTCCAAAATTCCTCCAACTCGATTAAGCAGGATTGATAACTTGCGGAAAAAGAGTATAGAGAGGTTCTGTAGGAAATTTCATAGGTTTACTGTACAATAATTGGGACTTGAGAAATAAAAAATATTGGGTTATAAAATTGTGAAGATTTTTCAAGTCTCTAGGTTTATAAGAGCCACATAAGATATGGAAAGGGTCTATAGAATCTCCTGTAGAATATCTCTATACGATTTTCCCATACCTGAGAATTGACAGTTGTTGAACATATTCGGTATTTCAGACCGGAAATTCACCTAGACAATTTCTAGCGGTTTGCTAAAAAATTTTGTCTGAAATTTTCAGTGCACTCGTATGAAAAAATTTAATGGAAAAATTTTGCGAATTCGTTAGACAATTCTATTGGGATTCTATTAAAATTCTAGGGAATTCTTGGTAAAATTCTGTTTTTTTTTTCTGAAAAACCTTTAAAAATACGTGTCCAATAATTTAAATAGAAAAAATCTCAAGAATCTCAAAAATTCAAATAGAAAAATCGAAATTTATTGACTTCTTCAAAAACAAGTACAATTTTAACTAGAATTATCTAGAATTTTAATAGAGCCCCATAAAATTTCTAGCGAATTGTAATAGAATTTTCTAACGAATTCGCTAAGGTTATCTTTTGAATTTTTTCATACGTGGACTCCTTGAAAATTTGTACCAAGCACTAGTTTCCCTGAAAATGAAAGAATTTCGTTATTAAAAATTCACATTTTGATGAAGCAATTAATGGAAATCAGAAAAATTCAGATGAATATACCCTTGAATTTTGAATTAATTGAGAATTCAATAATACGAGGGATAATATCAGTAATCTCGCCCTCCGTGTTGCCGAAAAAATTGGCCATTTGAATCCCATTGAATTTTCAGTGAAATTCAAAATGCCAGTGATCACCTCGTTCTCTCGCGCTTCTCCAGAGGGTTCCACCTCCGCGCTTTTCAAACCCCCGTTAATCCTCGACACCGCAACAGCCTGCGCCACTCCATAATTCCGCGGAAAAAAATCCGCTAATTGCACCCAATCCTCACTCGAGTGTTAACGAAATTCGCACGAAGGAGAAAAGAAACGCAAAACCTTGAATAATCAGAATTTGTTGACACGTTGAACAATTCCACATAAAATTTTACTTCGTCATAAAATGGGCGTTTGCCGCGGCATGTCGTGATAATGACGATTTTTTCTGCAATCACAAGACAAATGAATATCCAAGGGCACCAGTTCAACGATCTACTAATAAGTAATAACAGTCAACAAGTATTAACTTTATGGAATATTTATTTAGGCGAGACCCTCTCCCTGAAAATTATGAGGACATGAGTCACTTCATGAGGAATGCTAATCCACAGAAATAGTAAAAGAATAAAAAACACAGGGAGGATAGAAGAAAAGGTGAAACGGCAGTGGGAAACGCCGAAGGCGAACTCAACGGATGACCCTAGCTGCCCCTGCGGGGCCAGTTCACAGGATTTCGAGCACATCCTGTGGCACTGCCCACAGTATAATCAACAACGTAGCACATTAATGGACAGATTGAAAACCAAAAAAATCTCTCCACCATACAATACTGAGAAATTCATAGAAGCGTTAGATTACAGATATATTGAACTTATTTGTAAATATCTAAAAGAATGTAATATAAAAGTTTAGGATGAAATTCTAAAAAAAAGAGAGAATATGTATAACGACTAGATTTGTAACTCCAACGACAGTGTAAATAATTTACTAATAATAAATTGAGCACTTTAAACTATAAAAAAAAAAAAAAAAACTCAATGGATAAAGTCGAGTAACATCTACCAATTCAGGCGGTAGCCACGCGGAGCAGATCTCGCTGGATATAACTGGATTGGAGCTGTTGAATCTCGAAAACACCGGGTACCTCGGCTGGTTGGAAAAGAAACCCATATGTTGGAAAGAAGCAAAATGAAAAATTAATTTTTTTCTCGTTTCATGGTTTCAAGAAATTACACAATAAAACCGGGTTGGTGGCGGCGGGGAGGGTGACTGGGCATTTATGCGCATGAAGGTGATATCGTAATGGAGGATAATGAGGAGAATTAAAAATTAATGCTGTTGTGATTGAGGGTAATAATGAGAACAATAATCCTGCGGATAGTCTTGATGGAGATGACTGATAATTTGAGGGGATAAAGATGTCGATTTAGGAAACTCAAGTTTTTATTTTAAGAACGGCAAAGTGCCTTAATTCAAGTCTTTGTGCTGGATTTCACGAGTACTTGAATCCAGACACTGCTACTGGAAATTCTAACCTTTTTTTCTCTGCGAAGGAATCAATAAATGGTTTCGTAACTTTTGATCCGCGAACAAAATTTGACGACAATTTATCCGTTGACAATTTTCCCATCGATAATTTCCCTCATATAATGTACCAAGGATAATTTATCGGGTGATCAGATGTCAATAATACAATTGTCGCTGGAAGAAATGTTTTCAGTTTTTTTTTCATTTGGACTTTTGTCGCGGATATTCTAGTGGGAAGTGACCAAAGTTATTGAAATTATGATCCAACGTATGAGTTCTTGAATAAAGAGCCCATTTTTCGGTTTAATTCTCGAGGTATCCCCATTTTGCTCCCGGCCACTTCCATTTTAAACAATATTCAACCATTTTTTGATCTATCCGGATCTTTCTGGACTCGAAATGTGTGTAATCTGGAGAAGATAATCGGAGAATCCACAATTCCTCCGACACCAATGAGGGCCCTTTTCAAATGGATGTCCAACTATACTGCTGATCACTAGATCGATTAGCACTTCTTAGCTTGACAATATCGATTATAATCTCAGAAGGATAGTCATCTTTACATGAAATCTGTTTATTGAATAAAAAGATAAAAACTGAAAATTGGATTAAGAATTTTTGAAAAAGAATGAGAGGATCACATTTCTACTTTAATAGAAGTCAAATTTAGCAAAATTGGATGTGACACTATTATGTTACGCTCCTAGTCTAAGCATTGGATGAACTGAATTCAATAAATAAAATGGATAAATTAAATTCACTTATCGAAGAAGTAATACCATTCGAAAAAACAGAAATTTCATGGACAGTTTAGTAGTAGTAGAATGTTCAGGAGAACGACATTGAAATAGGCGTTCGGACGGAACGTCATAATGCAGATGTTTTTAATTGCCTACAACCTATCAATTCCTCACTTTTTATCGGAATAAAGCAATACGTGCCTAATATTCTCCATTCAATTACCATATCCACATGGAGAGCGATGGAGAGATTCGTTAGAAAAACTCTAGTGCTATTCGAGGAAAAGGACGCAAGCACGTGAATTTTTCCCTTATTTATATTAAATTTGCGCTGAAATTCCTGTGGATTTCACCGGAAATGACCAGAAATTTTAATTAACTCGCACTTGAATTTTTCTAAAGAATTTTTCTCCGTGCAGCATTAAAGAAATTTCATGCCAGACCACAATGGACAATAATATTTCTGTAAAGAGCAACCATTAGTGCACACAATTGGCCAATATATTTAAAAAAAACAAGGAAAATCCCATAACACTCATAATCTCATAACAAAATAACCCTGAACTTTCGGGCAACCTTGAAATGACGTGGGATTCCCCGAGAAGCCTGAAGCTTCCAACAATAATTTGAATTTCGGCGTCCGATTAGTACTGCAGAATTCCCGACAAGCGAGAGGCAAATCAAGATGTTCAGATGCATCTCAATCCGAATATCCGAGACACTATTCAATCCAAAATCCAGGAATTGATTAGTGATTTCGGTGGGATGATCGATGACTTCTGAGCTAATTTCTGCAGCTGACATCACTCCGATTATGATTCCACAACCTTGGGTGCGATGAAGCTGTCGAGAGTGTTTGATCTATTTAAAAAAAACCTCTCGAAAGCGCATAAAATTTCGTTGAGCCGCACACGCTTATGAGTTACTTCGCAGGTTGCTGAGGGTTTCGGTTTTATTGCTTATGATAAGCTTGAGAGAGTCAGATGTTGTTTGATGGGGGAATATATATGGGGAGAGTCAAATAATGCTAAATAATGTCAAATATGTTATCGGGATTGCATCGAAAAATTAAAAAATCGTACAATTTCAAATGAATCACAAGCGATTAATTATTGTTTAATAACAAAAGTTGATTAATTATCCATCATTACAGCCGGAGTACTGTTTTATTTGAATTCCATAAACTTTATTCAAAACGAATAAATTAATTTATTCAAATAATCTTCATAAAGCTTTCATTTAAACTTAAGCTCGTGTTTTTGGGTTTCAATTCAACTGAAATCACGTAATTGTTAAAATGAATAGTAAAATTCTAGGTAGAGAGTTTTATTGGATTCAAATCCGTTATTTTTCTGCGTGTGTCACCAAATTAAAGCGATCGTCAAAAATGATTAGAACGATTGAGGCTCAACGCGGACATAAAAAATGAAAGCAACGCGTAATTTCTGAAAAGATTTACTAAGTTATGTCCCCCACCCTGCCACAAATTAACCCACTCAGGGAATCAGTGTACGCAACAAATCCCAGATCAAATTGATCGAGATAAGATTCATCATTAATGTGTTTAGGACACTTGAAAGGCCATCTACTCGCCTCCCGCCATCATGAAAACTGATAAACCATTGACTCCAATCACTTTTCAAATAGGATAGTCCAGTGACGATGTAACCATCATTTGAATTGACTATAGGGGGCTTCGACCCCTGCACGTAGCGAAATATTGACTAAAAATTACGTATCAGTCACGTAATTTTTACCTAAAACCACTCCTGTGAAAAATTACGATACCGTCGCTTAAATTTT